AACCACTTATATTGCTCCAAATTTCTTTAGCTTGTTGAGAATGCAAAGTTTTCTTGTTGTTTTCCTTTTCATTTGCTCGTTTGTGTTACTAGTCAAATCAATGAGATCTACTTTGAGTGATGATGTTGTGGGGCTGCTTGTGTTTAAAGCTAGTCTTGAAGATCCTCATGGTAAGTTAAGTTCTTGGAATGACGACGATGATGATAGTTCTTGTTGTACATGGACTGGAGTAAAATGCAACCCCAAATCCAATAGAGTGTCTGAGCTTGTTCTTGACAGCTTTGGCCTTTCGGGGAAACTAAGCAGAGGCCTCCTTAAATTGCGCTCTCTACGAAAGCTCTCTCTTGCTAACAACAATCTCACCGGAGGCTTAAATTTTAATTTGTCTCAGCTGCCCCATCTCAAATTTCTCAACTTGAGTGAAAATCGATTATCTGGGTCAGTTCCAAGCGATTTCTTTACTCCATGTGGGTCCTTAACATCCATTTCTCTGGCTAAGAACAATTTTTCAGGCCCTTTGCCTTTGGGAATTGGGAATTGTCCTTTGTTGGAAACAATTGATTTGAGCTGGAATAAGCTATCCGGTGGACTTCCGAGCACAATGCAAAACCTTTCCTCGTGCAGTAATCTAATTTTAGGTGGAAATGGATTTGAATCGAGCGTGCCTCAATGGATTGGTGAAATGAGAAGCCTCAAGATCCTCGATCTTTCTAAGAATAGCTTTACTGGCCAACTTCCGGATTCTTTAGCAAAGCTTCAGTCATTGAAGATTCTAAATGTGTCCAAAAATGCACTTTCTGGTAATCTTCCTTCTTGGGTGTTCAGACTTGGTTTGGAGCAAGTTCTGTTTTCAAACAACAGATTCAGTGGGAGACTTGAGAATGTTTTCGATTTATCCATCGAGAACTCCAGGAAAAAAGTTGCGATTTTGGATTTGTCCCAAAATCAATTCTTTGATATCATTCCAGCTGCAGTTGGGGATTTTATCAACTTGAAAGTATTAAATATGGCTAGGAACATATTACTGGGCAGCATCCCAGTAAGCATTGGTCAGTTAAAACTTTTAAGTGTTTTAGATTTGAGTGAGAATCAGTTAAATGGCAGCATTCCTTCAGAGATTGGACAGCTTGAATCTCTTAAATCCTTGTAAGTTCATTATTCACTATCATTAACATTCTTCATTATCCATTGTTTGTTTGTTTGTAAGATTCTCAGCTTATGAATTAACTTGCTTCAATGCTTGCAAAATTCTCCAAAGTCTCAACCTTTAAACCGAAAATTCAAAATATTTGCAGGTATCTCGATCACAACCAAATAACCGGCCATATCCCTCTCTCCCTCTCGAACCTCACTCGCCTCGAAAAAATCGATCTTTCCTTCAACAAACTCTCCGGAAGCCTACCCAACCAGCTTTCGAACCTTATACACCTCCACTCGTTTAACATCTCACACAACAATCTCCAAGGCAAACTCCCGTCCGGCAGCTTCTTCAACACCATTCCCATATCCTCCATTTCCGGCAATCCTTCCCTCTGTGCGGGCCCCACCAATTCATCCTGCTCGGCAGTCCTCCCCAAGCCAATCGTGCTCAACCCCAACTCCACATTTACCCCTCCAAACCCCATTGGTTCAAATTCATTTTCCCACGGTAAAAAAGTCTTAACTGTCTCGGCCCTGATCGCCATCTGTGCTGCCGGCGCAATTTTTGTGGGCGTGATTTTCGTGACGGTTCTCAACATAAGGGTGCGATCCTCCGCTCTTCGCCTACCTGTCGTCTCGTTCTCCTCGTCCTCCTCGAGTGAAGACAATAACAATTGCGGCAGTCTTGGCTCGTCCGGTCGAGATTCCGGGAAGCTCGTTTTGTTCTCCGGCGCCAGCCATGACTTTGGAAACCTTACTTCTTCCGGTGGGGCCCGCAGCCTTCTCGGCAAAGACTGCGAGATCGGACGAGGCGGGTTCGGGCCGGTTTACCGGGCCTCGCTTGGAGACGGGCGGCCCGTTGCTGTTCGGAGGCTGGCTTTCTCGGGGCCCGTTGGGCCACGGGAAGATTTCGAGAAGCTGGCAAGGAAGCTCGGAAAGGCCCGCCACGTCAACCTATTGGGCCTTGTTGGATACTATTGGGCCCCTTCTCTGCAGCTCCTAATTTACGAATTTGCCCCTGGGGGAAGCTTGCATGGGCGCCTGCATGAGTGTTCGGACGAAAACTGCCTGTCGTGGGACGAGCGGTTTGATGTTATTCTAGGAACTGCTCGCGGGCTGGCCCGTTTGCACGAGATGAATGTGATACATTATAATTTGAAGTCGAGCAATGTGTTGATTGGTGAATCGGGCCAGCCCAAAGTTGCGGACTTTGGGCTTGCCCAGTTTGTGATGCGAGAGCACTACAATGTGAAGTCGAGTGCGGTCGGGTATGTGGCGCCGGAGGTCTCGTGTGAGACGGTTATATTAACCGAGAAATGTGATGTTTATGGGTTTGGTGTGTTGGTTCTTGAAGTGGTTATGGGCCGGAGGCCCGTGGAGTACACGGAGGACGATGTGGTGGTGCTTTGTGAGATGGTGAGGGGGGCAATATTGGAAGAAGGGAAAGTTGAGGAATGTGTCGATTTTAGGTTACGAGGCGAGTTTCGATTGGATGAGGTGTTACGAGTCGTGAAATTGGGGTTGATTTGTACTTCTCAAGTGCCCTCAAGTCGACCGGGTATGGATGAAGTGGTTCGGGTTTTGGAGCTCGTTAGGCGTCGTGAGGGAATGGATGAGTCAGACGGGTTGTCGTCTGACGAGCATTGACGTGAGACGAGAGGTTCGGTTAGAAAGTGTAGTTTTTGGATTTTTTTTTTACTGTTTGAAAATTTGTGATCCAAAGTAGTTCTCTGAGTTCTCTGTAGTTTGTGTTGTTCAGGTTTGAACTTTGTTTATTGTTTTATTTTCAGCTGATTTGAGTTTTGCTTGATCCATTATGTTTACTGCTGCTAGTTACTCACATGATCAAAGCTGATTTGAATTTTGCTTTTTTGAATATTCAAACTGAAAGACACTTTAATATTCAAAAACTCAGAAATCGTGATTGTGTGCTCAAATTTTAGCTTGAAATTCTTTTAACATTTCAAGATTTTCAAATTATGACTGGTGACCAAATGCTATATCAAAAAATATGTTTATTTTTCTGATAAGAATCAGGAGAGTAGNGTGGAGTTGAAAAGCCGTTTGGCACAGAAAAAAAAAAAAAAAAAAAAAGAAAAAGAAAAAGGAAAAGAAAAAAAAAAGAAGAAAAAAGTAAAAGGAACCGAGCATATGTTTAGTTGCCATCACTAAGCAAATCTATACTTATATAATAAGAATTAACATTTATCCAAAATAGTAGGTTAAATTATGGTCAATGTCAGATTTGCAATAAGTATTTTCCAAAACTGGTAAGTTTTTGTCCTTTTCACACTTCTCATTAATTATGTCTTTTTCACACTTCTCATGTTCTTTTCACACTTCTCATTAATTATGTCCTTTTCACACTTCTCATTAATTATGTCATTTTCACACATCTAATTAATTCATTAATTACAACATAATTATCATAAATCATTCCATCTGACCTTTTATTGTTAAAAATACATATCAATCTGTTATGACTTTATCCCATTGATATTTCTATGAAGCGTCCTTATCGCGTTCTATTTTTTGATAACCACTCTATATCAATAACTGGATATTTGGTTAATGATAGCACACGTCTTTATTTCAAGGAGCGGATATTCTTTGACCTTTAATTAATCTGAACTGATTGCCTTGACTTTTCAATTTTTAAAAACACTTTTTTTAAATATTTCGGCTTAAGATTCGGATTTCATTATACAAGTCATCGGATTGTTTGAATGAAAATGAATGAAAAGAACACAAAAAACAGGTAGCCTTATTCATATAACCAATCCTAAAATATTAGTTTGTTCACCAAAAATATTAGTTTGATTTTTAGGATTTGTCTCTTTTGAAAATATTAATTTGTGATAATGAGGAGTTACCAAATAATCAAACTTATAATGTTGTGTACAAGGAGGTTTTTAATAATATATGATTGTTACCGAACTTTTTATTATTCAACAATGTTCCTATGTATTTTAATGATTTCAATTTCAGTCCTAATGCACGTGAGGTTATATTATTCTTTCAAATTTTACATCTCGTGCATCGCACGAGTTACGTACTAGTAGTATCAAAAGGAGAAGGTGTTTGCTGGAGAATATTGAGCTTTTTCTTTTGTTTTTCTTTAAGTACTGAGGTGGCCCATGTTTTGCTTTCTGCCCATCATTTTACTTTTATGAAATTTTGTATTCATCTTTGTCGCCATCTTCTANTTCTTCTTGATGTCTTTATTGGTTATGAAACTCATCTGGTTGTTTGTATGCATATCTTTCTGCACTTTTGACTCTTTCCTTGTCTAAATTAATTTATGCAATTGTGTGTCTTTTTTATCCCGAGTCTTATTTTGATGTCTAAATAAGTAAGTCTTAGTTTAGATCGGGTAAATGAAACGAGTGGCTCGTAAGCTTGACTTAGTTTAGCTTGTTAATATTTGAATTCGGCTCGACTCATGTGATGAACGAGCCGAGAACATGCATATTTGAGGTCAGGGCGTAACCAACATTACCCTGAGCTGCTACAGTAGGTAGAGCTTTTAGTCGAATCGAGCTATTAGTGAAAGCAACTCACTTCGGTTCTTTAAACTCGAGTTTAATTTATTTAAATGGCTAGAGTCAAATATTTTCATTTTATTAAACACGAGATTGAACACTACTACGTATTCCACTCAATTTTGCTCGTACAATATCACTAATGCTATGTATAAAAAGAACTAGAGCATGAAAATATTTTTTACTAATTATTTAACGTAAATTACATGAATCACATAGTAGAAAGAATGAGAATAAATTATTAAGAATGTGGCTACTTTATTGTAAATACTACTATGAGATAATGAACAACTTAGACACAAATTGTGAAAATTTATATGTGATTTCATTGAATAGCTATATGAAAAATTAACTTGTATATTTCTTATATCCAAATATCATCTATTTAAAAATCAACAAGTAATTATTGTATTCATATATGAAATAATATAAATAATACTATCTTAAAATAAAATTGCAGAATTCTATTTGACCAAACAAAAAAATTGCACATTCTATTTGACCAAACAAAAAAAATGACAAGTTTATGAAACAAAATAAGATCATGCACACATATATAATTTGTTGAATTATTCAAAAATATATTTTTGCGCTAAAATAGATTTATCACAAGATAAACTAAAAAAAAAATTATTTACAATAACATAAAAAAAAATTAAGTCCGCCTAGAACTAGCCATTTACGTATTATAACATACAAAAAAAAATTAAGTCCTCCTGGAACTAGCCATATTTTTTTAAAATAGTTGGAACTAGCCATTTACGTATTCCTTTTTTAACTTTTAATTTATTGATGGTTTAACTTTAATGAGTCTCCCGGTCTATGCTATGTTTTTATTCCTACTATATATTTTCTTAAATAACAAAATATTCCAAACCCTCCCATCTTTATAAAAGCATAAAATTTTGCCTTTATTATTAATAGACCACATCTACCACATTTTATATTCTAATTTTGTCTTCCATTTTATTGAACTATAACAAGTGTTTATAATAACATTATATTTGTACACATGTCATGCATCCAACTTGATAAAACACAAGATGAATTATAAAATTGGAACATAAGATACTAAAATCACATTTTCTATTTCAACTTTGAATTCTACAATGTATGTAATAATAAAAGTTTCTCATAATTGTGTAGAGTTTTTAAAGGAGTGAAAAGATTAGGATTAGCGTGACTGGTTAACCATAATGAGCTGTCCCTAATCCTAAATCAACTAATAAAGAACTAATACAAAAGTTCAGTCTTAATTATGATGTAATATTGGATCCAAGACAACTTTAACATCAGCTGGCACAACTCATAATAATAAGATGAAAGATCTATTAAGTATTAACACGTAGTTAATGTAGTATAAATGACGCTTTTATATATGACCTAATTAGCATTACACCTTTTGAAAATTGAAAATCAATAACTCTTCTATCAGTAGTCATCACAATATGGGTATGCATTTTGATTGACAATAAGATGGTATCATCATCTAACCTATAACCATTTTGCAACAAAAATTTGTGCTTGAAAATTGAAGTGTCAACTTTCAAGAAACTTATTAAGAGATAGAAGTAAAAAGCTTTTTAGTTGAAACATTGCTTGAGAATAGTTTGATATATATAAAGGTGTAAATGAGTTGAGCAAACTCAAGCCTTTATCTTTACACCTTTATCGAACCAACCTCATAGCATAGTTCGTTAACTGAAAGAGAGAGATCGAGTTTTGCGCGTTTATCAATAATCAACAAACCAAACTCGAGCCTTGATTAGCCAACCTATAGAAATTTACATAAAAGTTCCTATTTTCGAGCAACTCATTTCTTTTCCCCGATCTTGAACAATTTTAAAATTTACTAATAATACTAAAATAACTAAAATCAAGAAGCCACAGGATGAATAGTCTAAAAAAAAGACATTTAAATCTGGAAAAGAAAGGGAGCTTTTTTATATAGTTAGGATCAGACCATGGGCCGGGGAGTAAGGCTCGTAAACTTGAGTATTGGGCTTTTTATATGTATGTGATCACAGGAAAAGGAATTCTTATAATGGGCTCATAGGCTGGTGAGTAAGCATCGGCGTGTGGGTATTGGGCTTTACATGTAGGGCGTCTCAGGAAAAGGAAAAGGAAATTTGCTTGCTGGATAATGGGGTTGACTTGAACAGAATAAATTCTTATTTTAAATTTCGAAAATTGCAATTATTTCCGAAAAGTAGGCAAAATAAACTATTAAATTATATTCTAACATAATCCGAAAATTAAGATGCTTTCCAATTCAAAACAATTTTATATTCAAAACAAACATCCTTTTAGCAGCGGACATGAATGAATTTCTATAAAGTAGTATAAAAACATCATAAAATAAAACAAAAAACAAAATTAAAAACTAAGACGACAGAAATGGACTGAGCAATGAATCAGTTATTCATCCTCAGATACAAATTTTCAACTTTCAAAGATGGCAAGGAAATGTCANAAGTTGCAAGTCGAATATATCGAAGCAGCTGCAGCCTTAACTGCTAATTCCTTCTCTAATTTATCCAGACCCTCCGAACTGCATTAAGATATTGAAATTAACATTATAGACAAAAACAAAGCAAAAAAAAAAAGAAAAAAAAAACTTCGTTTGCATGCAATCGGTATATGCTAAAAGGAGGCAAAAATTGCAACTAGCCATATAATAAGTTAATAACTCCCTCAAAAAACCACCTTTTAACTATATGAAGTTCAAGTATCGATAAGCTCTTTACCTGCTTTCATTTCCCATTGGACCACAATTCTTATAGAGACCCTTTTCACAGTGCAGCTGCATTTCCTTCACTTGGTTCAGCCAACTTTCCTGATAAAATATGTTCAATTGTTGAAAATATAAATCAGAATGAATGGAGCAAAGAAGAAAAAAGAAACAAGAGGATGCACCAAACATCGAGTTATTAAGTTCACCCACTCGTATATTATAAAATTCAGTCGAGCTTGCTAAAAATAATGCTTATGCACTCATTCAGTCAAAAAAAGGAAGTACATGTGAAGTATTTTATAAAATGCAACAAGTATTATTGTTCTTAAGTATTCTATGCGAAGGAAACTTAAGAATCAGTGCAATGTTATACAACACAAAAATCGAAAAAACAGATATCGATTATCTCACCAGCTGGCCCTCTTCTTCAGAAAGTGTAGTCTCCATTCGCTCAAAAATCGAGCGCCATCTAAACGAGTGCGCATCAACGGTTGCTTGGTCGAAATGGCCAACATTAGGTGGAAACTCTCTCGACAATAGGAGGGGCAATTCTGTGCTAATAACCGCACGAACTCTTCTCTTACTACGTCTTAATGCTGCAAAAGCAAAACATTTTATTATTATACAATCATTATTATCATAACTTTTAGGTTAAGATATAAAATCAGTGAAAGCTTCGATGATGTGTAGTAAAGATAAGAAATTTTACCTGCGAGACGTCCCTTAATATCTTGATTCAGAAGTTCCAACCATTGAGAAGCAACATTAGCCGCTGAAAATCAAACAAAGCCAAAATAAATTCATCAACACCCAAAAAAAATAAAAAAAAAAATCAACACTTTGAAACATTTTCATAACGTAGCTAATGATATCATGGCAAAATCTTTTCACAGTTAAGAGCAATGTTGTGTATTTGCCAGAATCACAGTTAACATTTTCAAAAACAACAACACAAAACAAGATAAAGAAAAAAGACAACCACCTTTAAAAGAAAGCGAATTAACACTACCAAGATTTGCTGACTCGTCATTTGACAGGCAGCTATTATTTTCTGACGCAACAGCCACCGAAGAAGAAAGCTTTAGCGCAAGCTTATCATCCTCAGTTTGAGAAGAAGTCATAAAAGTTCCCACATCCGAATCCCCGTCTCTTCCTAAAACCTCAGCATTTTGAAAACCCGTTTTTGAAAACAAACCATAATCACTTATCTGCCTTCTTCCCATCAAACCATCCTCCGCATGACTGAATTCCAACGTATCGACTCCCGAGCTATTCACGCCTTGAATAAATTTCTTGCTCCCAATATGCCGATTCCCCCTTTTTTCCGACTTTACCAAAGCTTCTATGATAGAATGAACCTGTTTGCTATTCCTGACATGATTAATGATTCCCGGATTAAGCCCGTTAAGCAAGCCACTTGGAGCAGCTACCCTTGCAAACCTATCCACCTGCTCTTTTTTCGCCTGCTCGATTTTTTTCTTCATCAGGTCATTATTGACTTTCTTTTTTCCACGAGGCTTTGGTATTGAAGCTGGCAACGTACTGTCAAAGGGAGACATGTAATTGTTTTGTTTCAGCCCTTTCCAAACTCTCATCGAGTCCCTCTCGTCGGGTGGTCCCACTGAACTCCCACATTCTAAATCGTCCCTTTGTTTCAAATTTTCACAGCTTTTGTAGGGAAAGAAGGGGTCGTTGGCCGAGCTCGAGACATCCTCAGTATTAAGGTCTAAACTGAAAGGTCTGGCCTTTGGATGATTTTCCTTATTTTCCTCCCCATATGGATTATCACCAGTAGCTTTGCGATTTGCTGAACTAACGTTAATGTTAAGATCGAGATCTCTTGAATCAGAGCACATGTCTGGATGTGGGGTCTTGATTTCTCCTCCTGCTTTGGTTGTGTTACAATCGGCATTGGAATTTTAAATCATTAGAAACGAGTTTCAGACAATATAACAGGTACAAAGAATAAAATGGAAAATGATTCTAATTTGCTTTGTCCACTGATTACACTTTAAAACATTATTCATAGAGAAAAATCTCTAAATACCCAAAAGGGGAAAATTTGTGAGACAGGGCAAAAATTTCAGTCAAGTAAGCTTAAAATTTCATGGACTGTCGAGAAAAACTAGTCATTGAAATATTAGGAAATGTGAACATCGAAGCATCAAATGAAACAGTAAAATTAGGATTTTTAAATTAGAAAGGGAAAAAAATACCTTCAGATTGAAAAACGGATTCAAGGTCACGCATTTTCTTTCTTTTCTGAGGACTATCTGATGTTTCTTCAACTTCAGCAAAACCCCTTTTCTGTACAAATAAAACCCATCAATTCAAACACACGAATGAAAGGAAATAACAGCAAAAAACCCTAGCATACACGTGAAATCCAAATCCAAGATAAATAAACAGCATATAAACCAAAAATCCAACCTTTAGTTCAGATCTGTGCCCCGTTAACGACTGGCTCTGATCCGAACCCTCACAGTCCATCACTAATTTTCCCTTTTCTTCACCAACAATCTAATTCCCCTAAGTGAGCAAAACCCAGAAATCAAACTCGAAAAAGACGAAATCTTTAGTCGAGAAAACAGAAAAGAAGATCGACGAGAAGAGATGGGCCCGGCCCGATTGAGATAATCGGCTAAAGATTGTGAATATGGGTCATTTTTTGAGGAGAAAATATGGAGAGGGTTTGTTGTTTCATTTTGGGTGAGTGAAATGTGAAAAATGTCAAGTTGAAAGGATTTTGAATTTGCAGAAAGGGGCGCGCTGACTGCTTGAGAGGCGCTATTATTATTATTTTTTATTTTATTTTTATTTTTAATTTTTTTCTTTTTTCGATTTATTCCCTTTTCTGTGTTTGTTTCTCAGTTTTCAAATTCAAATGTGGATGAGGGATTCTAATTAGGACAATAGGTTAAAAGAAAATGCCATTTATCGCGCCAGCTAATTTTGTGTATTTGCAGTTTGGGGCCTCCACACTTTTTGGTAACCATTTAGAGCTTATTATTTATTTGTTTGTTTTTATTTTGTTTTTTTAATCTTCTCTACAAAATTAATAGTATATATGTCATTTCAAATGGAAGAAAGCTATAATCCACACTAGTAAGCATCCCGTGCGATGCACGGGCGAGTTGTATGTTAAAACTTTTTTTAAAAAAAAAACTTTTCCAATAATGTATTAGCCCGTTGACCCGTTTATATTAATATAATAATATTTTAAAACATGTATTTGTTTTTTGATACATAAACAATAATCTTATTATTATTCATCATAATACTTAAATATTGTTTTATTCTAAAATTTAATTTCATATAGTTTCATTATTATTAGTTATAGCACTTATAAAAGTAGTATTTTTTAATATAATGATAAGTATTTAATTTACATTCATATTATTTATTGATGCAATTAAATTAAAAATAGTTAAACAAATTTAAAATAAGCATTATGTCATATATGCATTCTATCCAATTTTTAAAACTTATCATATCTCATAATAATTAAAATTAAAATCATATAAATACGATTTCATGCCATTAAATATATTAAACCTAACAGTTTATTTATTCCTTGTCAGTAGATAATTTTTTGTGATGTGGTAGAAGATTATATAGAAATTAAGATAAAATGGAATATAACCAAAAACATATATTTTCGTTTATGCTTGAATTTGAATTTTTTCCAAAATTTTCAAAAACACATTTAAGCGGCATATTTCAAAAATTTTCAAAAATATTACTATGTTTAGTAAATATTCAGGCCGAATTTCTAATTATTTTTTAGTTACTATTTTAAAATTTTTTGGGTTTGTCTCTTTATATAATAATAGATAATAGATTCCTTAAAACTTTAATCTTAAATCGCCATAATTGATCCTAATATTAAGGCATGTTGATTGGTATGAGATGATTTTTCAAGAGTGAATTTTTTAATATAAAATTTTTTATCAAAAAGATCTTATCAACATAACCTATATATTATCAAATCTCAAATTATTTTTTTTAAAAAGAAAAAAAATGTGAACATTTTTTTTTTCTTTATAAATTATTTATCCGCACTATATTAGATAAAAGAAAATATTTTGCATCTACACAATACATTTCATCTAATAGTTGCAATTCTTAAGGTAATTGATTTAGTCAAAGCAATCACATACGAACTTGTAGAGATTAGTATCATGATTATCTAATCTGATTCTAGCTCTTTAATTATTAAAAAAAATATTAAATTGATTTTCAAATAATTTCCTAAATTAGTAAGTCAAAACTTTATTTTATTTAGTTAAACTTTCTATTTAAATATTTTTTCAACAACCTTTTTATATTAGTATAGATTTGTGGGTATCATCGGTAAATAAAGGAAAGTGAGTAATTAAGAAAATAAAATTTGCCCACTAACTTTGTGCTCCAATTTAAATTTTCAAACTTACCTTCTTTTTTTTTTTCTTTTTTTTTTTAATTTTGCTTGTNGACTACTCGGTTCCAACATTAATGGTTGTAGCAGACGAGTTATTACTGTGGATATATACTTTCGTGGTCAAGCTATTACTTTCCTTTCTAACACAAAGTAATAGCTATTAAATTTTAGGGCTGAAAAAGTATATAATATATTATTATATTATATATTTTTTTATAAAAAATATATATTATTATATCTTTTAGAATGACACTTGTTACTTGTGCGCATGTGTTATATTATAATAATTTTTATATCTTTTATCATATAACTACTTGAAATATAAATATATTCATTGATAAATAATTTTATTGCTCTACTTAATATTAAAAATAAATTATTATTGTTATAAAAATAAATATAAATTATTCTTTTATACATAAAATATGGATGTTAAATCGAAACTCATTATTATTTTGGAATTATTATAAAAGAATTTGGGAATAATGAACAGAGAAAAAACAGGAAAAAAAGGTCCACCAAAAACTCCACACACGTTCAATCATCATCTTCAACCCCCTTCTCTATCACCTAGTAAACCACACACGCTTACACTACTCATCGAGCAGCCGCAAGAGTTGAATTAAGCTCTCAATCCTCAATCGCTGCAAGTTCAGAGGAACGGTTTGCTCTTCAAGATACGAACACCCAGCTTTCGATGAATCAAATGCAGCCGTTTTCCGGAGTAATGAGACCCGCGCACCACCGGAGAGCCCACTCGGAGGTCAATTTCCGGCTGCCGGAGGATATGGATCTGGCGTCGGACCCATTCGACGCGCCGGCGGGGAGTTTCGAGGAGATGGGATCCGAGGACGATCTGTTCTCCACCTACATGGATATGGAGAAGCTCGCTGGCGGCGGATCTGCAATCGGAGACTCTGTTTTCGACAATGATGGCGGCGGGACGGTGGAGGAGGCGGAGAAGAGTGGCGAAGGCGTGTCTAGGCCGAGACACAGGCACAGCAACTCGGTTGACAGCTCGAGCTTGCTGTTCAATGAGAGTGGTATCGAAGCTAAGAAAGCTATGGCGCCGGAGAAGCTGGCTGAGCTGTGGTCTGTTGATCCTAAGCGGGCCAAAAGGTGATTCTTTTTCTGTTATTTATTGTTATACCTTTTTTTTTTAATCGAAATATAGATGTGTTAAATATTGATTGGCTTTACTTGTGAGGAATTTGTGTGGAATCGTAAATTTAGACTGGATTTGAGATGTATCTCTGCGAATCCTTGAGTTTAACTGATTTGAGCTATAAGTCTAATCTGCTGTGTACAAGATTATGGATAATTGTTTTCCTATTGAACAATAAAGAAAACAATGACAAATTTAAGGATGGGTCCTGAAGTTGATTTGTTTAAATCAAAGTTAATAGTTACATAAAGTTAGAGCTGGATTGATCTATGTCTCAGTCATATCACATTTAGTCAAATAGATTTAAGTGATTTTGGAAGCATTATCACTTTGTAGTTCTTGGTCAAAATATATAACATTTTATCAAACGAGCTGCTCGTTTGATTTAACAGCTCTGATTGTACATAACACACTTCACAAATGATGCAAGAACCTTGCATAGCTTATGATTTGGGTCTCTGTAATATAAAATACATTTATAGCCACTATCAAATGATATATTCATGGATTTGTAGAAGTTTGCCTGCAAGAACTGTATTTGCAAAATTTAATTTTGCCTTAATTTTGGCTCGAGTCATTTCTACCATGCTCAGAATTAATATATGCAAATTTCGCATAATTTGTTAGTTATGTCATCTGATGCTATTTGACTTTGTACTCTAATAAACTAACACATTCATAATATCACACAAGGATTTTGGCAAATCGGCAATCTGCAGCTCGATCGAAAGAGAGAAAGGCACGTTATATATCTGAGCTGGAGAGAAAAGTTCAGACCCTTCAAACTGAGGCCACAACTCTCTCAGCTCAACTCACTTTGTTCCAGGTATTAACTTAGTCCCTTCAAATTAAAGTTTTACCCCTAAGAACTTATTTTTTTTTCATAATTATGACTTGAGATTTTTTATCTCCTTAAGAGAGATACATCTGGGCTGGGTAATGAGAATACAGGGCTTAAGCTTCGGTTGCAAGCCATGGAACAGCAAGCTCAGTTACGTGATGGTAAGTCCTATTTAAAATAATAAGGCACTCATCTTGTCACATCTTACTCGAGCTTATATTTCGTCTAAATAAGCGTAGCTTGCACACAACTATGAACTATATGCAAATGCAACCCCTTTTCATTTTTTTTTTCCCACAATATTCTTCTGTTAAATTTCTACAACTTTATACATGCAGCACTTAATGAGGCACTGAAGCAAGAAGTGGAGAGACTGAGAATGGCCGCTGGAGAAATATCTTCCACAAACGACACTTTCAGTTTATTACCTATGCAGCAACTCTCTTACAACCAATCGACTTTCTTTCCACATCAGCTCAATGATTATTGTAATATTTCAATGCAGCACTTTTCGAGTTTTCCCGACTCGTCACACGAGGACCCTCTCGGGCGCTTTCAGGGCCTCGATATCGGCAGTCGGGCCCCGCACCTTGTTAAATCCGAGGGCCCATTTATCTCTGCAAGTGAAAGCAACACAGCATTCTGAACCTATCTGGTGTTGTTATGAAAATATAACTGTTTCTAGAAAGTCTACTTCGTTTTTTTACCTGTTCATAGACTGACTGACGACTCGTTTTTTAACATCCGAACCATCAGCAACAATTCTCATTTTTTTTTTTGGTTGGGTGAAAATATTTTATTTTCCATTTTTGTTTCCCTTTGAGGTGTTTTTGGATTGGCATTCTCAGCTGAAAGTTTTAGTTTTATTGTTTTGCTTCACTTGTTGGGTGAAGCTTTTTGTTAATGGAGGAGGGACCCAGGTAGTTTTGCTGTCTGGTCTGTCTGTTGTAATAAGACTTCTAAACATTAATTTAGAATTTTCCCTTTTTTTTTTTTTTTTGNTCAATAAACATAACAGTAGGTAAGAATATTCTGAAAATGTGTGTTTTTTGTTAAATATTCTGGTCTAAACTTATCATATCAATTATGCATAAGCCATTTTGGTCATGTAATTAAATAGTCAGATATATCCTATTTTGTACCATAGAGAACGTTCTCTACATGATCTCTCAATAACCAATACCCTAACTTCTGAAATCACTAGCAAATTAATTATACAGTCATTTGTATAAATAAACAGTGTTAATTACTCGTTATTTTTTCATATATAAAGAAAAGATTGAGTAATCAAAATCATTTATGAAAATTAAGAAGTGAGTTGTTAAAACATGGCACACATTGAGAAAACCAAAACCGAACAGGCTGTTTTCATATCTATTCTTCGGTTCTCGATTTGTAAGTCCCACATCCATATAATAGCAAACATAATAGAAAATTTCAAAATCCTCTGTATGAACCTACGTATTAACTTCAATTGCTACCTCACGAGGGTCCAAACGAGCCCTACTACCATAAAAGCAGGGTATATGTAAGTGAATAAACATATTTTTTGTTGGATGATATAATATAATCAGTACTTTTTATATTTAATTATGTTTATGGAAATATTGAGAAAAAATGAGACAAATGATAATAATTTATACGATATTATTGTTTACTTTTAATTTTTAATGAGATAATATAAAAATCTTAATTTGATATGTACGAAAATAAGAAATGATACAATTGAAATGGGAGAGGAATAAACAATTTTATCACTGTAAAATCAACTAACATCCGCAGCATAATTTGGAAAACGAAAATACACTTCCGGTTATTTGATTCAGAGAAAGAAAGAAAGTTCAGAAAAATAAGCATCCATTTTCTTATTAGTGCTTAATGTGAAGTGATTTATTTAAAGTCCACTTAATTTCGTTTAATTAATTACAATATTGTGTATATAATTAGTATTCAAATACAATCACTTTATTTGTTATTAATTTTTAAAATATACATTTTGACTTATTTAAAATTTTGTTTAGGTAAACGCGCTACACTACCAAATCATAGAACTAATGTTACCATGGCTCAACCGGACTCTATGTTGGATATTGTTCAACATACACAGCTTCGAGACATAACAAATGGTAATTATGTATTTTCTTAATTATATAGAATATAGATTGTTCATACTGATTAATTCCCAATTAATATTTCTCAATATCATTATATTACAACCAATTGTTATTTTTTTTCGAATATTCTGCACCTTATATTTTTAAATACTTTCTGCAGCAGAATTAAAGCAATGGAGATCTAATAAACGAAATGACACATCTTTGGAAAGTTGCAGTAAAAGCATATTAATAGACCTCACAAGTGATGACGATGGTGAATTGTCTATTATTCCTCCATCTTTAACCGAAAATCCAGAACATGGAGGTAAATTCATGTGCAATGCATAAATATATATATAATTTATATATATATATATATATATATATATATTTAGAGTTATAAATGCAAATATCTATATAAAAAAATGTATAGTTTTTTTTGTTCATTTTGGTAATAAATAATTATTCTTTAATTGTTTGACATTTTGAAGATAGTAGTAACATACGTGCTCGAATAACTGTATCAGCAAGTGATGTGCGTGATGGTGAGAATACTGCTGGAAGCATTTTAATAGATCTCACTGGTGATGAGCCATCTGAAACCGCAGTTACCAAAAGAAAGCGTGGTAGACCTAAGGGGTCTGAAAATAAAAAAACAAAAAGGATGGCTGGTATAACCTTACGTAATGTTTTTTTAAATATGCCACATGCATTATAGATTCTTCATTTTCTAATCCTTTTATTAACATATATTTCACAGAATATTGGGACATGGGCGATGCAAGTTTTCGTTGTGGCTACTGTGGAGCAACATTTTGGTACGACGAGAGAAAACTTGTCGTTGAACCGGAATACACAGGATGTTGCATGAATGGCATTGTAGAACTCTCTATTCTAAAACAACCCCCTAAATTGTTGGAAGATTTATTGCATGGAGACAGCAGAAAGAGCAAGAATTTTCAGAATAACATACGGTCATACAATAGCATGTTTGGTTTTACTTCGCTTGGAGGCAAAATTGACTCAGGTGTGAACAGGGGAACGGGACCACCCGTATTTAGTTTACATGGACAAAATTATCACCAAATGGGTAGTTTACTGCCTTCTGATGGTTCAACTCCCAAGTTTGCACAGTTGTATATATATGATACGGAAAATGAAATATCCAACAGGATCAATGTTGTTAGGTGAGATTCGTTAGTTGATACAATATTTGTCCTTTATCACAAAAAAAAAAAAATGACTATAAATTAATATTATATGTCTCATTCATATTCTTATGCAATGTGTTTTATGTTAACAGTAAACAAGACGGAGTGGCTAATCTTCAAGCTGATATTGTCGAGGGGTTAAAGCCATGCTTGATGAGCACAATGAACTTGTGAAGTCTTTTCGAATGGCCAGGGATAGGCTTCAGCAATCCGGTTCTGTTGATGTCAGAGTTCGTCTAATTGGAAGAAGATATAATGATGCTAGGCGGTATAACCTTCCTACAAGTTCAGAAGTAGCTGCCTTGGTTGTAGGTGATTTCGATCAAGCTTTGGGTGATAGGGACATACTGGTGGAAACAAAGAGGTGGTCTTCTACAAAGGATAAACGAGCTTAATGCGTCGTATTTGGCTTTGCAGTATCCCCTTTTACTTCCGTATGGAGAGGATGGATATAGATAAGACATTCCTTTTACGGCCAGAAAAAAAGTCGTTGAGGATGGTAGAAAGACTGTTAGTGTTAGGGAGTATTTTGCATATAGGATTCATGATAGGGATCATGAGCCATCAACAATACTCTCAGCCCGAAGATTGTTTCAGCAGTTTGTTGTTGATGCTTATACCATGGTAGAATCTTCGAGGTTGAGATACATACGTTTCAACCAGAATCGACTTCGCTGTGATATTTATAATGGACTTACAGATGCAGTTCTTCGTGGTGATACGGATCCCAGTTCTCGAGGAAAGCGTATAATACTTCCTTCCACATTCACTGGAGGTGCTAGAAGTATGATTCAGAACTATCAAGATGCTATGGCGAGCAATTCATATATTCAAATGCGCACACAAGCAAAAATAGTATTTTTATTTTCTTCTTTGATAGAGTTTGAAGTGAAACCTGGGAATTTTCCTCAAACCTCCCTTTTTTTTCTGTATGCAGATTATGGAACGCAAATGAAGAGAGGCGGTATTCGAAAATCCTCATACGAGTGTCATTTCGAACTGTGGACTACGACGGCATTGCGGTGGCTTACGGCGGCGAGGCGAAGCAATTATATTCGTTAAAATTTTCGGAGTTCGTGCGAAACAAAATAAAACAAAATGACTTGGGATTTGGAGTCCCGTAATCTACTGGGTACTTTGCAACGGTTTATATGTTGGGTGTACCATTGGTGAAATTATTTATATAGCCAACCTTTTGCCTATGTTCTTAAAACAACATCCCTTTATAATTTTTTTAATTTTTTTTTCTAACATAACTTTATAGGTTAAATTGCAGGTTATTTCAACCTTTGCTGCGTTTGCAATTTAGTAGTAACTTTTCAATTTTGGTAATAATAGGCACTATGCTTTTGATTTTTGAAAATTAAAGCATACATTCAACAAATCGACTATCGAACACTTACATGTCTGGCTCATTATCTAAAATTTCAATGTGTCTGGCTCATTATTTGAAATTTCAACTCATTCATGCACACTTTAATTGGGTGTGATTGTCAACATATTCAAAACACTACACCGACGAGATAATATAGGTCATGGACAACAAAATGCAATGAAGTTCCAAAGTTTAAGGTTTGTATAATATCGTCCATAACTCTAATGTAGTTTTTACTTTTTCTCGTTTGTAACACGCATGTAGTATTCTTTTCTCCACGTTAAACAGCTATTCGAACAAGTATGTGATGCCGGACTTGTCGACAATGTATTTCATTTTGCAGAAATCGAAAGTTTGTCTGTTATTGTTACGAACTTTAGGATTTTAGATTAATTATACATGCACTTATAAAGATGTGCATATATATAAACTTATGATCTTTATTATATATGATATGAGTTGGGCCGTATCACAAAATTGAAAATACTGGCAGTAAAGGCTACCCCACTTACACACGCGGATTCCAACAGCGGATTTTGGCAGGAAAGTTGGTCCAAGGCAGCAAGTTGACTAGTGTGGGAGATAAGATCAAAAAATTCTATATAATTGTGTATGTTACAACCCTTACAAACGCAAGTTGACTAGTGTTTTTTATGAATGATACATTCACTTATGAAAGATGTATGGGTTGGGCTTACAATATCTATAGTTAACAGTTACTACCAAAATTGAAAAGCTAGAGACTATATTTCAAACGAAATGAACGTTGTAATTGCATTTGCAATTTTATATGTAGAAAGATAGTAATATGATAATATCATCAAGCAAAAGGAATTATAACATGTTAAGACCTAGTTCAAGAATTTTTCCAATCCCTCCTATAAAAAGGAGAAAAGGCAAAAACAAATTATTAAGAAAACAAGCATGAGTATGAGATTAGCAGAAACGAACAAGTCCCACATAAAATGTACTATATTTCATCAATGTATAATAAATCCATTTATTATTAAACAACGAATATACAAATAAACACAAATCTATAATTCCTACCTGAACTTGTATACACCATGGCAGCTCACTCATACTCTGCTGTAAAACAGACCATACACAAAAACGCACACACAAACAAGCACAGTTTATACTTTATAGGTTAAATGCAAGCATGAAACTTAAAAAGCCGTAGCCAAGCCCCTCTGTGCTCCATAGTCCATAAACTCTTCACACAGTAAAAGAATCACATAAAAAGTCGAGCCCCGGCCGAAAATCGACAAAAAAAACACGACCAACTCATTTTTCCATTTTCGTCTCGTAAAAATATCAATTCAATTGTCGAGCACTCGGCTAGGCGACGCGTACCCCATCAGCCGATGAAGCGGAGATTTCGACACATTCTCCTCGATCTCCGAGCTGGGCCCCACCTTTTCCCATTCGGCCTCGCCAGGCTGGCAAGGGGCCACGTAGGGTGCCACGTGACGGGTCCCGCTGGCGAGCGAGAATCTGAGGACCGTCCCGCACGCGCCGCACGCCAGCTGGCGGCATTTCTTCCCGTCAGAGAAGAGAAAGAAATCCTGCGGCAGGTGCAGCAGCTCGAAGCATCGGTAGCAGGCTACCAAAGGAGCCCCGCCAGCCACTGGCCGGAGAATATGCCTCCTCTTCCTGCCAAAATATTTCTCCTTCAGGCGGGCCCTGATGAGCCCGTCGTCAAATGTGGGCTCATGGCCCGCTACAGAGGGTAACTGGCTCGAGAAGCTCGAGATGCTGGGGTGGGCCACGGGCCTGTGAGGAAGCAGCTGGGCCGAATAGGGCCCAGAAAGGCAGTTCGGGCCCAATTGTCCGTAGCTTCGGTTTGTGTTATAATACCTTCTGATTTCGGGGAACTGCATCCGTTTGATCTGATCCTGTAGCTCACACACGGTTCTTAGCAGGTCAAGTTTATTCGGGCCAGGCAATGGGCCCGAGCTTGGCCTTGAAGGAAACGGTAGCCTACGAAAATCCTCTTGTCGATCGACAGGCTGGCTCCAGTTGTGGTTTATTGCCGGGCCCCACTCCTTGCTTCTTCTAGTGTTTATTATATCTTTGTTCTTTCTCGGTTGTTGTTGTTGCGAAGTTTGTTCGTGAACTCGATCATAATTGCCGTCATAAGAAGATTCACTGCCGTAGTAAGTATAATAGCTTCCATTTTTCGGTGGAGATGAGCTTCCGAAATTACGCCGATTTTCCGTTGGAAAATTATCAGGAGCGTCGTTGTCGGAGGATGTGAGGTAAAAAGATACGAGGCTCTCTTTCGAGAGGGATCGAGAGGGAGCATTGTTATTAGAATGATGATAATAATAACCGTTTGAATTTGTTTTCTTTTCCTTGTTCTGTTCAGCTGCTGGTGGTAATATACTTTCGTTTGAGCTGGAGATAATCTGTGGAGGCTTGATTTCTTGAAGATGGTCTTCTTTTTGGCTAACACTTTGAACTTTAGCAACAAAGTCATCGCCTTTTTGCAGCAACCGTTCAGGCTCCTCACGAAGTTCCACAGAGTTTTCATCATTACAACTTGGGGTGTCTTTATGTGATAAAGGTTCTATCTCGGGTTGACTGGTCAAAGGTTTACTCGAGCTATTGGCTTCTAAAAGTTCGTCCGGTTGACTTTTTGCAGAAGAATCTGTTTCTTGTGAGGATAATGCAGTGCCGTTGGTCTCTTGCTTCCGGTTTTTAGCTGCATAAAGATGCCAAAATGTGACATTTCAACAAACTAGAAACTTCGAATTGTTTTTATTTTTTTTCTTTTCCCCCATTTTTTTGTTTTTCTTTTCCCAGTCAAAAGCTAACTATCACTTATTTTACATGTTTGTGAAATAGTTACCTAAAAGAACAGTGCCACATCCTCCACATTTGTAAAGGGGGACTTCAGGCAACTCTGCCAGAACCTGTCGGCATTTAGGACATCTCACTAATCGGACTTTTGTGCTCACTTGACTACTCATATTCACCATCAATCAAAACGTGATAATACCACACAATCAAATCCTGTAATAGGAAACCAGAAAGACATAAAAATAAAATCCAAAAGGCCTCCACAGATAGCAAAGCCATGGTTTAACCAAATGTAAGCCTTCAAAGTATTGTGAGGACAATGGTAGTGAATAAAGATACAGTGATACTATTAGTGGAGAAAGACTTTTTAACTGCTGATAAAATGAAGATAAAAGTTTGCCTCAGATTAAATTGAAAAATACTAAAAATCATTGACCAATGCAGTAGTTAATTCCACAAGTCATTCTATTACTCAGATCGGGGATAAGGAAAAGTTAGAGGTAGGTTACTTGCAATAAGCAGAGCTAAGTGCAAACAGAAGGAGATTAAAAGGTTGCAGCCAACTTGATGGCCAGATAAAGAAGAAATTGCCAACTCTTCTTAACTATTTCCCAAAATGGAAATACAACAAAACAGAATCCCCACAATTTGCACACAGCAACAGATATTGTCTTTTGTGGCAACAGATTTGGAAAAAAAAAAGAAGAAAGTTATTCTATTTGTCAACCGACACTCATACGAGAAAAGAATATAACAATTAACATAACAAATAATAGATCCACAGCAAAAATGCTTATGCTTTAGATTCCAGAAAAGGAATCATTAAATTAAATAAATAAATCAAACTAATTCTGGTCCCAAGCTCACCATTTTCCATACACGCACCAAAAATTAGGAAAGCCCCACCAGAATCTATTGCCAAAAAGGGGTGGAACCAAAAGGAGGGTGTAAAAAATTCACAAGAGCTAAAGCACAAATAGCAAGAGAACAAAATAGAACTGTAGCATGATATCAAACTCAATTTACACAGATCCCACCAAAATTCAACTTATTAATGATCAAACTCAACTCTCAAAACCCAGAATCCATACCTTATTCAGCGAATTCTAAAAGCAAATATCGATATTCAAAATATTCAAACCTCTTCATGAATTCATTGCTCAAACAAAAGCATGTCCAAGAACAGTACAAACTGTAATAACATCAAGAAACAACCTTTTCATGTTAAAAAGACATAAATTTGAGAAAAGACGAACCCAGTAAGAAACGGGTCATAGAAACTCATGAAAAAAATCTTTTCTTTGACGCTAAAGCTTTCTTCTCCTTCACAAATTTGCACCCCACTTTCTCACTCCCCTTTTCTCTCTCTCTCTCTCTGATACCCACACAGAAAAACGATAATGTTGAATTTTCCCCGCCGTGTTGGAAAAGCTTTGCCCAATCGAAAAATGTTGAGCTTTTGGGTCATTATTAACCCAATTACCAAAGCACACTGTCTAAAGTCCAAAGTCAAAACACACTCTATAATGCGCACACACACACACACGCACACACAGCTTGCAGAGTGAAAAATAACCTTAATTGCGAACAAAAACAAACAATACAGTTCGAGACTCGGCGCGCATTTCAAAGTCAATGGCCCAAGCTGCAACGCACTCTCACGACCTTCGTTTTCTAGCATAGTGTAGTTCCAAGTCAACGTTTACAATTGTTTTATTTGGTGAGTGTTTACATTATTAGTAGATGTATACTCATTTTATTACTTCAATCAATTCAATTATGAAGTAGTCAAGTACTAAAAATTAAAAATCCAATCGGAAATTAATGCAAATAAGTCATATTGGAAATTATATATAAGTTTTTGTGTGAGTAGAGAATCTGACTCATGCATTTATAACAAAAACATATTTATATTATCAAATATAATATTTTTATTATATGTTTTATAGAATGTAATATTTAAATTTAAAAATATTCATATTTGTCAAATTTGTCTAAATAATAACTCTCCATTACTTGGGTGATGTTTCATATGTCAGGTAGCAAAAATTCTATGGAGTCATCGGATGGTTTTCTTATGGAGTCATCCACCACTTAATGTATTGACACATGTCCAAAGTGCATTTATTGCAGGACACGTATCAATACACTATTGGTGAATAAGTATGGATGACTCAATCTGATGGCTCCATAGCAAAACTGTGTCAGGCAGATCGATTTTTCTTACTTTTGTAACAAAAGTGTGTATTTATGTTATGAAATGTCATATTTATATTTATTTTATTTTATTTTTTTAAATATGATATTTCAATTTAAAAATAAAGAAATTTATTAAAATCTATATTATTATAGTGTTAAATAATATATACATGAATTAATGTTTTAACTACAAGATAGTAAATATATTAAGAAAATGAAATGACCCTTATCTTTAGGAGTAGCAGTTCACCTTTTGACTACAGTAGACTAGTTTTATAGGTGATCCAAGAAAATGAGGAATCGGATCACCAGAAACCGGGCAAATATATATATATATATATATAAGTCATGAAAAATACGCGACGCACGTCACAGTATGACCTTGGGCCTCGACCGACCAAGAGTTTAGAAATAGGATACTTGCCTCATTCCTATCAAATAAATGAATTTTTTTAAATAAAATAAGAGATAATTTATATTAAAAAAAATATTTCTTATGTTAATTTATATTAAAAATAAAATAAAATATACCAAAATTTGTATTGTTTTCATTCTCTATAAATAGAGACAACAGTTGATAGGTTTTGGAACACAACTGCAATTTATCTTTTTTCACCTTTTTCCTAATCCTATCTTATTAATTTATCATCTCTCTTCCATTTTTTTTAATTTCCAACAAATATCATATAGATCCAACTAAAAATAATAAAAATCAATTGAGACAATGCATACTAAATAAATAAATAAAAACAAAATAAATATTTTAAACTGAATTGGGTTGGGTCAGGGATAAAGATAAGTTGTGTTGTAAGGTTGAGTCGTCTAAGTTGGGAGAGATAAATGATTTTTAATTTATTGGGTTCACTTAGGAATAAAGATAGTTTAAGACGACATTAAAAGTTGAACTAGTACAACATCTTCAATATAAATAAATAAATTTATATTATTTAATTTTTTTATTTTATTTATCAGTCTTTAATGAAAAATTAATGCTCTAAGTCAGTGTCATGTACCCGATTATGGAGATGAGTCGAGTAGGATGAAGTGAAGGGCCTTTGCTTTGTATATATTCAGACTTAGTTAATATTATGTTACTTTAGGCTTATTAGTAGTTATATTTTGGGTTTTGTTATGTGGTAATGCCCCTTTATAGCACTTAATCAAAAGAGAAAATGAAATATAACCATGTTTTATTAAAAAAAATGAAATATAGCCATTTTGGCTTGTAAAAATACACAATTGCCCTTATACACCTTTTTCATTTTTTCCTCTTTCCATTTTCAACTTTCTTCTCATTGCTTCCGACCGCCCGCCTTTCCCCTCTTTCTTTTTCATTTTTTCACCCCTTTGCAAAAAGTTTGAAATAGAAATCACAGAGCTCGGCGATCCATCGATCCATCGTGTTCAATCTGCTGAGTTGCTCAATTAGCTCACATAAATCTGCATATATATAGCTATTCACTATTCACCTTCCGCGAGAAAAACCCGACCTTAGTTAGGGATTAGCTTTCTTCAACAATTACTACTCAGAATTTCTCTTTCTGCATCTTTTTTTACTTACTTTTCTACTTCGATCTGTGAGCTCTGGAGCTATGGACACACGCAAGAGAGACTTAGGTGTATTCGGTCCCAATGTCAATGGAGGTTTTAAGAAATCTAAGTCAGGTGAGTGTATCTTTATGTTTGGCCTTCGTCGTGTGTTTTGTTCTGAGTTATTCTGTTTTCGCTCTCGTGGATTGTACCGAATCAATTATTTTGCTTTTTTTTTTTTTCTTCTTTGGGATTTTTCAATAGGCTATGTTATTTGGGACTGCACATAAATTGAAATTGAAAATTTGGGGTGTCCCTAAGTGCAATTTACTTCAAAGTTCATTCATTCATTATTTTTTTTGTTCCTAGGTGCAGATCTGCATTAACTTATTGTGTTCATATATTCGTTTTTGGACGTGATAATTTGCTCAAGGTAAGGTTTTAGTATCCAAAATTATTTAAAATGTATTACTTGTAGTGTGTTGCTGTAGTACTCCAGAACTAAACTAATAGTATGTTCTTCTCCAAGACTAATATGTGGGTAAAAATACACATTATATGGTTATACTTAATTACTAATAGTAAGAATCGAAGTTAAACTAAAAAAAGGTAACAAATGTTGTGCAACAGAAATGGACTCCTTGACAAGTGGTATAGGAAGCAAAACAAAGCCACGCACGATGTTTTTCAGGTTTAATCTCAACCTACCTAATATTAATTTTAATTTAATTAAATGTTCATTGGCATGCATCATGGAAAATTGTGATAAAAGCTACTAATACAGTATTACTTCTACTCAATTCTCAAATATATAGGGATGTGTGGACAGCAGTTGTGTGCTTGCATATTTTTGTAAAGAACTAATAGGAAAATAGTTCGTTGGATTTTTCAGTAAACTGGAGTGAAACTGGAGTGCTGCTCTTCTCGGCAATTATTATGGCGAGTCACGGTCCATCGAGTGCTGCTCCTCTCGGCAATTATTCCGACGAGTCACGGTCCATCGAGTGTTGCTTTTCTCGGAGATTATTCCGGCGAGTCACGGTACATATTATTTGGTAATTGTATTTTTTTTTACAAAAGATAAGAAAACTGGCGATTAATTCCGGCGACTGTGTGTCTATGTGTGTTTACGAGGTCTTACAAAGCCTAATTTCTGTTAAACGGTTTGAGGTTTGGTAAGGGTATGTGAATCATTTTAACATGTGTGTTTATGTGCTGCTCTCCAAGAGGTGTGGTAAAGGGTTACGGGGTGTATTTGTATGGGCTTTCATATAATTAGTCCATGTGAAGTAGATGATGCTTTCTATGTCCCATATCTCACTTTCCCGTTTGTTTTTGTTTCATCAAATCTCAGTAGCAACTTGACAGAACTTTGTCTGAACTAGATTATTAATTGTGTTAATTCACAGATCGCACTGAAAGGATTTTGATTTTTATTTTTTTTTGCCTTTTAGATTTATTTCTGATAGGCTTGGCGAGCCAACGTAAAACCTAGCCGTTCTATGGAGATGAAACACATGAGAAATTAGATTTATTTCATTAGTAACCTTGGCTTGGAGAAGGTTGCCGTTAGGTCTGTGTTTATTAAATTGTTGATTTCTATAAGAGATCGAAAGTTGGGCTGGAATGAAAATTCAACCTGTGAAATTGATTCTTAGGCCTTAGCTAAACATTTTTTTTTTGATTAATTAGCTAAACATTTTTATTTGTGCTTATTTGTTGATATTGAAGCTATGGTGTCTTTTAGTTCTAATTGATGGTGAGTAATAATGGTTTTTGTATAAGATTATTATTGTGCTTGTGTGCTTATACGACAACCACACTTGATTTGAGTAACCTTTTATTGGCTTTATCGGGCGCATTTATTTGGATACATAGTTGGAACACAAAGGTTTGCATCCTTTCAACTTGTTTTTTTGCGTATAGTTACGTAATTGATATGATCCGACAATGTTCACCCTTATGTTTATTGTGGTGATAATGCTCCCTAATGGCTCTTTAACTATTCTTATTTAACTATTCTTAATTTTCACCTGCTACATGCCATGTTTATTGTGTGCAATGTACCCTTTTTAGGATATTTTTCTTCAATTCTCAGTTTTGTAGAAATGTAATTTGAGGCATTTTTTCATTTTCTTAATTTGAAAACAGATCTTCAAACAAACCTCTTATCTCTTTGCGGTGGAGATGACATCTACTAATGAGGTATGATATTTTTTGGTGAACAAAGAGTTTTGTAGTTTATGTGTAAAAACTTGAGTTTTCTGTTAAACTGTTTCTTCAACATGAAACATTCAAGAAACAGGTTTCTTGACAAAAAACAGCTGTCTTGTTCAAGAAACCTGTTTCCTGTTCAAGAAGCCTGTTTCTTGAACAAAAAACAGTTGGCTTGTTCAAGAAACCTGTCTCTTGAACAAATAACAGCTGTCTTGTTCAAGAAACCCGTCTCTTGTTCAAGAAACTCGTCTCTTGTCAAAAAACATGTCGAACTTTTTGGCTTATTAATTAATTTTGGATGCGTATGTGAACTTTGATTCTGTGAAGTGTAAGCACATTAGAACTTTGATTAATTTTGGACTTATTGATTAATTTTGATTTGTATGAACTTTGAATTTGTGACTTATTGATTAATTTTGCACATATAATTT